CACCTCTGAGCAGACAGGAACCTGGGAGAGTCCTCCAGCTCCGGGTGCTGACAGGTCCCAGTGTGGTCCAGGTGCCACCATTCATAGGCTGGCTGGCCCTGAGCAGTTCCTGCACTTCTCTGAGACCATTGCCTTGTCTGTAAAACAGACTAAAATCATGCCTGCCATCTAGAGTTGTGGGAAAATGCGATCAAACAATCTGTGTCAAACATGTGCGGCCGCAGCCAGGGCTGTGACTGTCATCCCCGCTGCCGCAGCTGGGGCTGGACTGTCATCCCGGTCTCCAAGGGGCCCCTTGGCAGAGCATGAAGGGAAAACAGGAAGAGAGACTCCAGCCCCAGCTCAGACCCACTCTCCTGAACCTGCACGGCCCTCTGTGCCTTCCCTGGCAATCCTCCTGACTTACGCCACACAGGACCAGCAAAGACACATGTTCATTGCAAATCTCTAAAAGGATGAATTTGTAAAAAGCCTTTCAGCCATCAGAAACCAGAGGACATTATGCTAAGTGAAATAAGCCAGTGATAAAAGGACAAATACTATGTGATTCTACTTCTATGAGGTTCTTAGAGTAGTCAGATTTATAGACAGAAAGTAAAAGGGTGGGTGCCAGGGGCTGGGGGAAGGGGATGGGGAGTTACTGTTTAGTGGTGCAGTTTCTGTTTGGAAAAATGAAGAGCGTTCTGGAGATGGATGGTAGCTGCTCAATAACGTGAATGTACTGAATCGCCAGTGAGCTGTATGCTAAAAATGTTAGGATGATAACTTCTGTGTGGTATGGGTATTATCACAACTAGAAAAACATTCTGGAAAAAAATTAAGCCTCTCTCAGATTTCTTCAGAGGCTGTGGGAACTCATGTGGATTTGGTTTAATTACAGTGGAGTGACCTCTTAATCAGGGCTCGAGTTAGTGTTTAAGTTGCAAAGTCACCCTTGCAAAATTGCTATGTGGCCCAGAGAGGAGCTGAGCATGGGCCCAGCACAGCCAGCGGTCCCATAGCATGGGGACAAACCCTGTTCTTTGGAGCAGAAGATGAATGTGTTGATTTGAGTGCAGGGGTCCCAGCACAGCAGGTATCGTGAGCATCTAAACGTTAGAACCCACAATGCATCCTAGCGAGATGCCCACGCTGTAAGATGCCCTCAGAACCAAGCCCACGGGGGAAGCAGCGATTCCCAGTCCCTCCTCCTGTTCTCTCAGACCCCGAGCAGGGAGAGCAGCTGGAATCGCCATCCCTCTTGAAGCTGCAGCTTTTTCACCCTGACGCAGAATTGAATGCATCTGCACAGAACCGGCGTGCAAGGCAACCCCGCCCAGGCGGCCTTTGTCCAATCCATGGAAACTGAGGCAGGCCTTACTGTCAGCCTTTTTTCTAGCTGCCTCTGATGAGTCTAAAAGCCTAACTTGTTCTCTGATCTTTGACCAGATCTGTCAGCCACAGAAAAATAGCCCCTTCCCTCCTGCTGCCTCACGGAGATGTCTCCCCCACACATAGTCTTAGACACCTGGCCACACCACAAATGGTCCAACTTGAAAGGATCTTTTCAGACCAAAGATGCAATACCTGGGGCCAAGGCTCAAATCTAAACCATAGGGTTCCTAATTTTTCAAAAAGATCTATTGTCAAATTACAGAACACTCCAGAGAAGTGGCAGATGACCGTATTACGGCAGTGAGTGTTAGCTGACATCTTTCAGGCAGGTTTGACCCCCATCTTCTTCAGAAGGGTTTAGGCAGCACCACCTCAGTTCCAGGCTCAGTTAGGGACACCATACAAAATAAACAAATCACCACCCACCCTATCATCACTGGTGCTATTCTAGATCAATAGAATTTAATTGGCGATAAATTTGAGTTTATTCAATCCTTGAGGACCAAGGGTTGAAAAGTAAACTAACTCTTTAGTTTAGTTTAATAAACTGTGAACTTTAATCTCACATTTGGCTGGGAACTTTCATCTCAATTTTGCCATTAGATACCTTGCTGACTTACAGGCAAGCCTTTCTATCGTGACTTTCCTGATGTATGAAATCAGGAGAAAAGAGATCTGTAGAGGTTCATGAAAAATAAGAGAAAGAGAAAAAACATTGAGATGCTCGCTGGCAAGGTCACTTAATTTTTCTACCCTGCAGCGTGCACTATTCTAAACCTAATGGGGGGAAAGTGAGACCATTGCCTTCATTTGCATAACTACAGGGCATCTCGGGGCTCATTTTTCTAAAGCAGTTTGGCTCCAGGCATTAGGTAAATGGCATAGCCAAGCATGTCTCAAAAATACTAAAACAATAACCACTTGCAAGTTGAGACAGAGGAAATGGTGAGAAGGATTCAGATCTCGAGTCAAGTAGGAGCAGCCGAAGACCTGTCTCAGTGACAAAGCATTGCTTACAGAAGGCACTCTGCACTCAGCCAGTCCCTTTGTGCCATGTCACAACTGAGAAACCAGCCATCTGAGCTCCAGCTACACCCAGACTGTCCTGCTGGTACCTCGGGAGTGGCTCTGAGGCCCATCAGGGTTAAACATGTGGGTGGCGTGAGAGGAAAATACATCTCGGGACTCCAAAATCACTAAGCCAAAGGGAAAAGTCAGGCTGGGAAGTGCATCGGGCAAAGCTGCCTCCCATTTTATTTCTAAATAAGGGAGCTGCAAGGGTAAAACCTACATACTTCTCACAGTTGGCCCACATGGAACTTCCCTGTTGGGTGGCCAGATCTGTACCCTAAAACAGTTCTGTTGAATTTCACCCTGGCAATGTAAATCGATAGCTTATCTTCTCAGGAACCGGGCAAAGGATGGAACTCAAAGTCATCCCTCTGCTCACCTGAGACAAATGTGTATCTGACTGCTTTGTGTGCCCTGTGTTTACATTCTTACATAAAAATGCCGATTCAGTGAGCCAGACTAAGGCTAAGTGGCTTTTCCTCTACCCTAAACACACACGTAAGCTCTGTATTTGGTGAAAGGCTGATCAAAGACCCAAAAGGATGCAATCATTTGTCTCTTACCTCCCTACACCTTTAAAAAAATATCTTCCTCTTCCCCCAATATCCATTCCTTCCCCTTTAAATATTAAGGCCTTCAAAACATATTTGAGGAGAGGCATAGAGACCTGCCTCCCAGACGTGCATTCTTAACCCTGGCAAAATAAACTTTCTAAATTGACTGACACCTGTCTCAGATCCCTTCGGTTCACAGGTTAGGGAAACTGGGAGTGTGAAGCCAGGTGAGAAATTATCATCACATTTTGTGAACAGAAAAGCCAAACTCTGCAAAATACCTTAAGAGGTTTCTTCTGAGCCAGTGTAAGTGACCATGGCCCAGGGAACAGTCTCACGAGGGCCCGAGGAAGCTTGCCCTAGGTGGTCCAGCAACAGTTTGGTTTTACACATTTTAGGAGACATGAGTTACAAGCAAAGACACAAAGCAATACACACAAGGTGTACATCAGTTCAGCCTGAACAGGTGGGATATCTTGAAGGAGTTTGGGGGGGGGGGGTGGGGGCGCTTACAGGTCATAGGTAGATTCAAAGATATATTTATTGGTAGTTGGTTGAAAGAAGCTTTGTCTAAAGACTTGAAGTCAGTAGAAAGAAATGCTTAGGACGAGGTGGGTTGTGGGGGCCAAGGTTCTTGTTATAGAGATGAAGCCTCCAGATAGACGCCTTTAGAGAAAATGGTTGGTAAATGTCTCTTTTCAGACCTTAAAACTGCCAGACTCTCACTGAATCTCTCCGAGATCTTGGAAAGGTCTAGAAAGGAAAGGCTTGATTGCGTTAATAGAAATGCTCTCCAGTTGTAAATTTCTCCCACAAGGGATGGCTTTGCAGGGCCATTTCAAAATATGTCGGATAAATATGTTTTGGGGTAAAATATTTTTCTATTCTCCAGGGTGTACTCTCTCTTCTGTGATACAATACCAGAGACCGGTAGGAATTTGGTACCTTATTGCCACAAAGAGTTTTGTCAGTCAACTGATCTCAACATGAATGCCGATCTGTGCCTAGACTCCAAAAGCCAGGGAGTGTAATGAAGCGTGTCTGAACTCCCATCCCATCATGGCTGGAAATTCCATTTTTACGTTTCTCTGAGGTCCTCTTGATGAACAGGGGTTTGTTCAGTCAGTTGGGGTGCTTAGAATTTTTTTTACGTGTCAAAAGGAAACACCAAGCCACTAAAAAGAATAGAAACCTTCCACGAGGTCACTAAGCACTCAGCTAGCTCCATACACCACATTGCAGCTCATCCTTGGGCTGAAGAACTTAACTGTCAGTCATTTGGGTTCTGGGGTCCAGTTGTCCAGGTTCCTCACCCCAGCTCAGCCGTGGATGAGCTCTGTGAGCCGACACAGCTAATTCCCTGAGTCATCCCCTATAAGCTGTGGGTGATGGTGGTGACGTCACTTCACAGTTTGTAGTGAGGGTTAACCTTTGCAGGTTAATAGACCAAAGGCTTAGAACTGTTCCATAATAAAACATCCAGTACCTAGGAACCATTTTTTGCTTGGCCCTTCTGAAACTTTACTAAGAAATATTTCAGGCATTCTAAAACATTTAAAAAGTAAGAAAACAACATGACACTCCCCAGCCTAAGAAAGAAAACATGGCCATCACAGCCAAAGCCCCCACATACATTTCCCAGTCACTGTCCCTCCTTCCCGCCTAGAGGCAACCATCCTGCTGAATTTGACAGCTGTCACCCCATGCTTTTCTGTATACTCTCACTCCATCTGAATGCAACTCTAAACAAGGAGAAGGAACTGGAAGTGTCTTCAAGCCAGGACCAATATTCATGTCTTTCAGAAGGATTCGGATACAGTAGCCTAGCACAAAGTAAACTTTTGCAAGCACACTCTCATTTGTCACCTTGCTGTGTCTTTTCACCTCCCTGAGCAGGGAACATGCTAATCTTTCTAGATGGACCAACTGATGATCTAAGACATTAGTCAGGGACTCTAGAGCCACTCTCTGCTGACCCTGCCTGCTCCCCCTCCCTTCCAGACAGAGATGCGGCTGCAGGACCAGCACCTGGCCAGACAGCTCATGCGCCTGCGCGGGGACATCAACAAGTTGAAGATCGAGCACACCTGCCGCCTCCACAGGAGGATGCTCAACGATGCCACCTACGAGCTGGAGGAGCGGGACGAGCTGGCCGACCTCTTCTGTGACTCCCCTCTTGCCTCCTCCTTTAGCCTGTCCACGCCACTCAAGCTCATTGGAGTGACCAAGATGAACATCAACTCTCGGAGGTTCTCTCTCTGCTGAGGAGCCCTCAGACTGGGCCGAGGGGCTGGAGTGGAGGGCTTGGGCTGGAGGGATGTTGGAGGGAGCCGAGGCCAAGTTACTCCAGTGGGTCTCCCTGAGGCAGGGGTCCTGGGACTGGCGACTCAAGGGCCCTAGGACCTATTCAGTGGTGCTCTCCCAGGGGCCCTGGGTGTGGATCCCAGTGTCTCTGTGACTGGCTCTTGCTTAATACCCAAAGAGCTCTGCAGAAGGGCCACTCCAACCAGATGTTAAATGAGACCTGGGCTCCCACCAGAATCCTTCCCTCCGTGGTCACGTTCCTGTTTCCTGGAATGACTGGTGCTATGAACTGGGATTCCAAGGGGACCCCCCCCCACCACCCAAAGCTGTCATTCTTGCAGAAGGCTCTCCCGCAAGGGCCTTGGGGAAATTAGAGATGTCAGATGTGCCCGTCTCACGAGCTGTTGCTGTCCTCTAAGTATTGTCTCAAATTCACCCCGAGTCCATGACTCAGCAACAGGGATAGGGATCTACCAGGAAAGGAAAATCCAAAGGCATGACAAATGGGCACTTTTGGGGAACGCAGCCCCTCTGGCTGGCTGCCAGCGTCCCTGGTGAGCCTGAGACCCAGGCCGCTGTCAGTCTCCCAGCTTGGCACTGTGAGGCTGTGTAAACAGTAAATTCCGGTGTGTGCTGGGACGTGTGATGGGTGCACTAGCGTAGCTTAGGTGCAACAAGCACAGATGCCCCCATCATCTGTCCTGGCTACACGCACCCCCAAAGAGCCTTTTCACCACCACCCCCCAGGGCGACAGCCTAGGAGACCACTGGTTACTGAACCAGGCAGCTCCTGAATGCATTTTCCGTAACGGAATTCTCCTGGAGGGGCATGACCCGGGGCCTCCTGGTGGATTCTGGTGGTGTCACCTAGGTCACCCTACTGCCGTTCCCAGAATGACAATCGAGGGAGCCCAGAGGCCCATCCTGAGCCTCCTCTGAGATTTCGTGCCTGACCTAAACACCAAGTTTTAATCGAGTAAGTCTGTGAGTGATGTATTGTTCACTTGGTAATAACTGATTTTTGTCCGAATGGGGAAGCCACTGTGTAGGTCAAGTACAGTGTGTAGGATTTGATTTTAAGAGTTTCTCCCTCACAACAGGCATGAGGATCAGCAAGTTAAGACCCAGGCAGGTTAGGGAGGTCAGTCTGGGGTCACACGGCATGGCAGGGGTTCCTCGGCCAGCCGGGTAGAATCCCAAGATCAGAAGTTTTTGACCTTTGATGTCATCTAGTCCAGTCCTCTCCTTAGTAAAGGCGCAAAGTGAATCCTGAGGGAGAGAAGGATTTCCCTTGTGTGGCACAGCTATTTAGGCTGTAGAATATTGATGTGTGAAACCATTGTTGATTATGCCTAGTAGATCGCATGTCGATGAACTTGAACCCCAAAGATGGTCTTGATGCTTTGCCAAACCCACACACTGCCAACCCCTCTACTCTCCACCTCCCTCAGTCCCCACCCCCATCTTCCCGCATATTGCAATTCAGAACATTTGAGTCAATGCAGAGCAAGGCATGGACGTGGCCCCACAGGGCACGCGTCACTAATCGCTGTCCCATGGTCTACGCATGGTGTGTGGCTGCTGTGTCTACTGTGGCTTCTTCCTGTGTGATCTCACTGGGGCCCGTGTCCACCCACACATGTTGTCCCACATAGGGGAGAGGTTGCTTTTCTTCAGTGGGCTGAGTAGGACCATGCCTATGAAGGATCTCTAGGAGACAGAAAACAGCTTGGTCTCTTGCTTGTAATTTCAAAGATCCAGAAGGTCTATGCTTCCTTGAAAGTAGGTAGAACAACGCAGCCAAGATCTACTGTCTGCCCTTCTGTGTGCAGTGAAGTCTGCAGCCCTGAGGATCATGTGCTGCTGTCTTTCCTTGGAGCTCTGCACAAACACTGCCAAGTCCCAAATAGGCATTCCTTTCCTACCAGCTTCCTTCCAGATGAGCCCTTGAGGTCTCAGGCTGACCTACACACACTCACCTACTCACACGACAGAGAACACGCCATAAACATCCTTGAACCTATGCAGGAAAGCCCATCCCATATTCTGAAAAAATGCCAAATTAGGTTTTGCTTTCTTTTTAGAAATCAGTCATCGCAGTAACTGAAACCACTGGGTTCAAGTAAAATGGAAAGATTTAGTTGAATGTAGTCAATCCAATTAAGTTGGATGCAACTGAGTGATTTAGTTGCTTGGGTAACCCAGTGCTCGCTTGCCTTCTTCATTCTCTGGGAGAAAACTAAGATCAAGACACATGTTTTGGGATAGGTTACTCAGTTCCTCCTAAGAGAACTTTATTATGGGATGAGGTGATGACCCAAGGTAAGAGGTGGAGAGGAGATGTTTTCTAAGCATCGTCCAGCGTCGGCTGGCTTCCTTACTTTCCACAGTGAACACAACTAACCACATTAATTCAGCTTTGTGAAGTCCCTGCTCTGTGTGGGTCTCTGCGTCAGCAGCAACACTGGCCTAACCTCCGTCCCACCTTCCTGGCTCACCACATATGTACAGTGCTGTTTGCAGTGGTACTCATTGTCCATCCACGTCTCTGCCATCCCCAAGCATCCCCGGGTGTACAACAGGAAGCCTCTACCAATGCTGCCACACGTGGTTGTGTCTGATGCCTTCAGGGGCTCAGCAGCCATCAAGAGGCCCGGAGGGCCTGAGCAGGCTGGACAATGCCTGACCGAGTCCAAGACCCACCCCCTGTAGCAATACCAAGTGCTATTACATAATCAATGGACAATTTCTACTTTTATTTTTATGATTATTTGTTTCTATATTGCTGTTAGAAAAAGTGAAATAAAAATACTTCAAAAGAAGGTATCGGTACAAGAGAAACGCTTGTCCTTGTAGCTTGTCCCTGTTAGCCACACACAGGGCCAAGCACTGAACTGAAAGAAATGATGGATGAACGGATGGATGAACGGATGGATGGATGGATGGATGGATGGAAGGGAGGGAGGGATGGAGGGCAGGAAGATTTTTGCAACCTGATGGGGGCATGGGAGGGAGGAAAAGATTCACCCCAATCGCTCTTCTTCCTTTCTTGTGCCTTCCCCTTGAGGAAGCTTCTTAGTGGTCGTTACTATCTAGAGTTCCACAGGTGAGCTGATGTAGAACTTAAAAATGCCGTCTTTATTCCTGAGCTTGACTGAAGCCCGAGCCAAAGTAAACTCACTCTTCTCCAGTGGCCTTTTCCAAAGGTGATCATATTATTCACTGAGCTCTGATGCCTCAAATTTTTTCCAGCCACTTAAAGCACCTCTTAAACAAAATCAAGGATGTATGAAAATCACCTGGGCCGCTGTCACAAATGCATATTCCCAGGAGAAGTACCGGGTTCAAGCCCCAGAGATTCTGGCTGTGTTGCTCCAGGCTTCACAAATGCCCCAGGTGATGGACACAGGTGGTCCAAAGACACTCTGAGAAACTTCAGTAAGACAAAGCAGGCAAGGGAAGGCACTGTTTATCATCGATCCTGTCCCTGTGTTCTCAGCAAAGGCCTATGTCAGAGGGTCAGAGCAGGAATCACTAATCCTGTTTTGTGCAAGGAACAACTGAACGATTCTGCCAACCCCTTGAGATGACATCCCCTGCCTACACCAAGAGACGGAGTGCCTGTGATGTCTCTTTCCACAAATAGCCCACAGTATAAGCTGCTGGGGGGGAGTATGGGGTGTGAGGTGGTGGGAAGCCAGTACTTAGGAATCTGCCATCCGCCTTGGCCATGTGGTTCAAAGGGCACTCAAAAAGCCAGGGCCTTTCCACCCTGCAAATGGGACAACACGTGCACCTTTTCAGCCTGGAGGGGAACGAATGTGACCTCCAAACAAATCCACTCATTGTAAGTGCCACGGAGAAGACAAAATGCAGGCGGCGCCACACGTGGAAGGGGCCGCTTTTCCCAGGTGATCAAAGCTTCCTGGAGAAGAGCTATTCCAGCCACAGGGGCACTTGTGTAGAGGTCAGGAAAGAGTGCCCCAGGAAGAAAAAGATAGTCCCAGCCCCCGAGGTCTGCAGAGGGAAGCCAGTGCAGCAGGTGGCTGCAGAGGCTGGCCAGGGCTCTCCAGCCTCATAGGGCAGAGTCAGGAGTTGGGGTTTGATTTGGGTGGTGCAGGAAGTTTTCTGGGGTTTTTGAATGATACGCGATCTGATTTAAACTTTCACAAGATCAAAGCAGAAAGTACTCACTGCTGTGTAGAGAGTAAGTGGGGAGGAGGGGGAGAAGTGGGGCCCAGAGGTCAAGCAGGAGCAGAGGCAGTGGACGTGAGCGTAATCTAGACTGGGCAGCAGCTGCAGAGGGGGTGACAAGAGAGCCAGTGGATATTTGCTTGGGGACATACTTTGGGGACAATTTAGATGTGGAGTGTGATAGAAATGGAGGAACTAGGGATGGCCCCCCAGTTAGCAAGTGGATTAAGAAGGGGTGCCATTCACTCGGAATGAATGGGTGTGGAGGGGCCGCAGCAGGAAGGGTGCTGGTTCACGGTATATTTAAATGTCAATTCAATACAAGTGGGGAGTGAGGTGGACACAGGGTCTGGAGTTCAGGGGAAAGGCCAGTGTTAGAGACAGATTTGGGAGTCTGGATTCAGATGTTTGGATAATATTGAAAGTACTGTACCTGGTAAACTCAGAAAAAGAGTGTAGGACAGAAGAGGGCTGCACACAGCATCCGCGGGACTCCAGTGCGTGTTTATTCGTTTAGTTACTTTCACTAGATACTGACAAATTCTAATTGTATATATTTATGGTGTACCAAGTGTTTCTATATTTACAATGTAAAATGATTGACTCAAGCTATCGCACCCATCACCTCAGATGCTCATTATTTATTCCTCCTAACTAGAACCCTGCACCCTCGGACCAGCACATCCCCACGCCCATTCCGCTCTCTCCTCTGTGAGTTAGCTTGCTTTCGAGTCCATGTGGAAGTGTGCATGCGCAGCCTGGGTGTCCTGACATTTAAAGATCTGACAGAGAAAGAGGTGTGCTCAGAGAATACTTAGAAAAAAAAAAAAAACAAGTTAGCTGTAGACCAAGCGACCTGGGAGGCTAAGGTGGGTAGATCACCTGAGCCTGGGAGGTCAAGGCTGCAGTGAGCTGAGATCGCTCCACCGCACTCCAGCCTGGGCAACAGAACAAACAAAAATAAAAACTTACCAAAAGTCCAGCTAGTCAGGTAGAAGGAAAAGCGGGTAGACAGGGCATCCAAGAGCTTTTAAGAAGACAATGTTTCTAGAGTCGTCTAGACCAATGCTGCTGAGAAACCAGGGAACAAGAGGGCAGAGAGGTGGCCGCTGACTTCAGCAAGAGGGAGCTCCCCCATGATGCCACGGTGTCACAGATGGCGGAGATGGCCATCTCAGTGCAGTGGGAAAGCCGGGGGTGAGGAGGCGGCGGGAAGTTGAGGACGTGGAGGCAGACGATAAGGGCCACCCTGCTGCATCGATGTGCCAGAAAGGGAGCAGAGAACTAGGAGCTGGACAAGGACATAGATACAGATCAGAGAGAGGTTTGGGGTTTTCTTGTCACAACATGTAACATAATGAAGGTGCTGGCATCTGAGAGAGGCCAGTGCCTGTGGAAAGGGAGACGCTGACGATGTGCTCAGGGAAGAGGGAGCCACAGCAGTGCTGCTCTGGAGGAGGGGACACCTCCCAGCAGAGTGCGAGTAGAGACCAGGCTGGGACAGCAGGACCGGCTGCTTCCTCCCTGAGGCGCGAAGCCAGGGTGCAGCTGAGCGGGGGTGCCCGTTACTGACACTGTCAGAGGCGTTGGAACCAGGGAGACTCCTGCTCAAACAGGGCCTGGGGAACTGAGGCTGAGACCCGCTGGGCTGCGTCCCTAGGAGTTAGGCATTTTTAGTCACAGGATGACATTTGAGGCCGGCACAAGACACGGGTCACAAAGCTCCCACTGGTAAGACAGGATGTGGTGAAGAAGCCGCCTGAACCCACGAAAACCAAGATAACAGCGAAAGCGGCCCCTGGTTGTCCTCACTGCTCATTATATGCTAATTGTAATGCATTCGCTGCTAGAAGACACGCCCACCAGCCCCGTGACTGTTTACAAACGCCATGGCAACAGCCAGAAGTGACCCTACATGGTCCAAAAAGGGCAGGAACCCTCCCTTCCATTCCAGGATTTCCCCACCCCTTTCCCAGAAAACCCATGAATAATCGACCCCTTGTTTAGCATATGATCAGGAAATAACTATGAATATGCCCAGCCAGGCACCCCCTGCCCACGGAGCAGCCATTCTTCTGTTTTTTCACTTCCTTAACAAATGTGCTTTCATTTTACTCTGGGGACTCACCCCAAATTCTTTCTTGTGCGAGATCCGAGAACCCTCCCTTGGGGTCTGGATCAAGACCCCTTTTCAGTAACAGCATCAGTGGCACAGAGGAAGGGAACCCATGGGGTCCCTCCTATTTGTCTGTGAAACAGGGGAGTCGGAGGGGTGGGATATAGGCGGTTGCCGGACATTTCTGAAATAATTCCCTGAGAACAGGTGAATTAATTAGGAAAAGGAAGGACCATGTGGTCTGGCTGCTTGGCTGCCCATTTGAGGCTGTGGTCGCAAGTGTGGGGTGTGTCCAGCAAGCCTGGTGGAGTTTTTTGTTTTGTTTTTTTTTAATAGCAGTATTTAGTAGTCCCAGTGCAGACATAGACCAGGTAGACGGTGGGAGTTGGGATTTACCAGGCAGGCAACAGAGGATGGGAACAGAAAAAGTGAAAGTTGGTTTTTTTTTGTTTGTTTGTTTGGTTTGGTTTTTTTTTTACAGAGGCGCAATCTCAGCGTCGGACCGAGTCAGGAGGGGAGCACCAATGGAGCTGGAGGTAGGTGCATGGCCAGCAGTCTCCACACACCCTGGGGGTTGCTAGGTGAGACCAGAAGAGACAAGACAGAACAGGTGCTGACCGAGTAAGCTGAGAGCGGGAGTGACAACTCAGATGTGGTGTGGCTTCCTCATTCAGAGCCCCGGCCTGCTGCTGCATTAGCCACTGGCGCCCAGCTGAGGGTGGCAGGGTGGCCTGCCCCATGTGGTGACATCAGTCAAACTATGGTTTCCTTGGGCTCTGGGAGATCTCATCTCTTATGTTTGGAAAGGGGGTAAACTCTGTTTACACACACCCCTCTGGCTTCTCAATAAGACCAGAAGCACCTCCCGCTGGCTTCTTCTCCATGTCAAAGCCTGAAGTCTGTGGCCTGCGTGACTTGGGAAAGGAGCTGGGCAGGCAGAGGAGGAGGAAGATGGCAGTGGGCAGAATAGACAGTCCTGTCATAACTGAGCCTTATCTGATGGGAACTGCTCAGGAGATGGAAGGCTTGAGGCAGGGCTGTTTCTAAGTACTCTGTTTACAGGCTCAAAGCAAACAGCAATGGAGGCAGCTAGGCAGTCTCCAAAGGAAACCGATTCAGGAAGAGAAAGCTCATGTATTGGAACATTGACCATTTCTTTGAGGATAAATGCTCGAGGTGATGGATATGCTAATTTCCCTGACTTGATCACTAGACACGGAATGCACAAAATCACTATGTACCCCATAAATATGTACAATTACTACACATTGATTTAAAAATTAAAATGGAACAAAAAGGTGTTTCAGCTGGGCACAGTGGCTCATGCCTGTGATCCCAGCAGTTTGGGAGGCTGACATGGGAGAACTGCTTTAGCCCAGGAGTTCAAGACCAGCCTGGGTAACAGACACCTTTTTTTTTTTTTTTTTTTTTTTTTTTTTTTTTTTTTGAGACAGAGCCTTGCTCTGTTTCCCAGGCTGGAGTGCAGTGGCAGGATCTCAGCTCACTGCAACCTCTGCC